ATACCTTGACCCAAAAATCCCCATTATTGAACATGAATCCCCGGTTTGACCCTTGGACCGGTTTTGACCTAAGTTTTCAAAATTAAAAAACTACCCCTAGATTTCCCACATTATAAAAATGCCATTGACCCCTTTATAAATAAAAGGGTATATTACAAAGACCCCCAAACTATGGGGTCAGTGACAAAGACCCCGCTTTACTTTGTTTTGAGAAAAAGATCCCCCTGTACTATGACCGTGAGACAAAGACCCCCTTCCGTTAGAGATAGAGTGAGAGAGAGAGAATCAATCAGCCAACGGACAACATCTTGATTACTTAAAAAGGATTCATTGTTGCTATTAATTTATGATGATTGATGATGATGATGTGCAGGAAGGTAGAAACACAGAAAGCCTAGTCGTCGCTACCACCATCATGTTCTCAAACATATGATTGCATAAAATGAATGCATAAATATGCATCTTTTTTGTTTCCTCTGAATCAAGCAACYTGAGTTATCGATTTGGAGTTAATGGGTTCTGAGAAATGGAAGAAAAGGAGCGAGAAGCTCTTCAACTTCGATGCATTATCAATCCTGGCAGAACCCTTCTACATCTTCACCCTCACCATCTTAAGCCTCCTTCTTCCTTTCTCATTCCTCCTAATAGCCAGGCTCTCCACTAAACAAAATACARAGCGTACTTCATTTCACCCAAAAAAAAATGAGAAGAATACAAACGGAGACAAGGCACGGACTGTGTGGAAGAAGAAAGAGGAGGAGAGAAAGGGGAAGGGGAAGAAGAGAGATCGGGGGAGAGAGAGGGAGAAAGAGAGAAATGTGAAAGAATTTGAGGTAAAGGGGATTACTAGGCTGTTCATGTATTGTGAGGTTGGGGAAGATGAACAATTGTTTTCTTGTTTGAATAGTTATATTATTATAAGGGTAGTATGGGGATTAAAAAATATTGCAATGGCCATTTTGGATGGAAGGCTAACGAAAGGGGGTCATTGTCTTACAGTCATAGTACAGGGGGTTTTTGTAATTTACCTTAAATAAAACCCTAAATTACAGGGGGGTCTTTGTAATATCGGGATTGCTGCTAGAGAATATTGAATTTGTAAGGCTAGTTGACATGATCAAAATTAGGGAAGGGTTGACAAAAGAACTGGAATGAGAGAGGTGATTGAATAGAGAGGACAAATTAACCCAGTCAAAAAATAATAATAATAAAAGAAATAAAAAACAAAAGCAAAAAAAAATAAATATAATGAAACAACAAGCAAATTAGGCAAAAGATGAATTGGGGAATTTAGTTCAAATTTAGTTATTTGCAAAATAGGTGAGGAAAGGGGGATACACCAAAAAAAGAGCAATAATAAAAAATAAAGCAAATAAAAACTAAAAAATTATCATAAAAACAAATAAATAGAATAAATAAGTTTAGTAATCCAATAAAATCAAATAGAAAAGAACATAGACAAGTGATAAAGCTAAATTAAAAAAGGAAATAAAAAATATAAAAAAAATAATATACATTAAAACATAAAAAATAAAAAAGTAATAAAAATAAAATATGATTAGGGTATATTTTCTTGTGATGTGTTGTTCTTTGTTTGTTTCTCTATATTGGATAATTGTTTATTTTTTATTTGGCCATCTGTGCTTGTTTGAGATCCCATGTGGGCCCCTCCTATTGGACCCGGGAGAGGGGTGCTTAACCCCTTCCCTCTTCCATATGAGTCTTGACTGGATTGGTTAGTTGATGCATTGGGCTACTTGATGGGTGTCAACTATATTTCAACCCTAGTGAGTCGTTTCCTGACGTTCACACCAAATATGCCCATTTTTTAATATTTGATTCCCTTGCCCCTAAAAAAGACAAGAGTGAAATTATAAAATTTAAATGATGAATAGTGGATATGTGTAGCACGGGCTAGGAGGTGGCTGGTTTCACGAAGATATGCAACCTGGTAGTATATGCCCATAATGGGTCTTGTTAGATGGATGCTTGCATGTCTTTGGTATGATCTTGATTGTGAATTTAGTAGTAAAGAATAGAGTTGTGTCTAGTGATGGTGACGTTAGGTATTGACTAAGTGTTTGAGGAATATGAACTTTCGTTGTTAGGCCCGGTGAACCGAATATGAAGGTTATGAAATGAGGATATGTATGCTATTATATATATATAATTTTAAAAGGGGGTAAATTGGGTTTTTGTTTTGATTTTTGGAGTTATTTTTCACAAATCTATGGTCTAGTTAATGAGAATGTTCGCGAATAGTATAATGTTGTAGATAAATAAGAATCGTGGTGAATGAATGTGATATTAACTATAAAAAATATCTATAACTCACTAAACAATATTGCATAAAATAATTAAGAGTTAAATCCCAACTACAGTTACATGATTTAATGAGATGAAATAAGAATAGAGAGGAGGGAGTAAGAGGCGTAAACAAATTTATAGAGTTTCAACTTTCCCAACCTACGTCCTCTCCTCAAGGAAACCTTTTGACAGTTCAATATACTAATTCAAGTGAAATGTACACAAGCTAATTGATCTAGTACTAGACATATCTAATGAAACCTTTAGCTGGTTGACCTGCTGCAAGCTATACCACACAACTGCACCCTCTTACAAGAACCAAGCTAGTTGATATAGTGMTAGTCATACCACAACAGCAATTCGACACTTGTATCTCCCACAAACCTCCCAAATATTGTTTTCAAGCTCCACACAAAAACTCCAAAGGATTAGACTTTCAAATATAACTCAAAAATATTTAGAACTAAGAAAAACAAGGGTTCAAAATATTTAAAATTTTCTTTTTCTTGAATGTTTTCCTTTTCTTTTCCTTTCAAATTTCAAATTGATTTTCCATGTTTGGCTCTCATGTTGCTTTTTATAGAGAAGGACCTATAGAAACCATTTGAACAATGGTCCTAGCATTAAATGCTTCTTGGTCACTTCTTTAGAGTGTTTATATGATTTTGTATGGTAAAGAACATGGCATCACCGTGGCCCTCAACGAATGGGGGATGTCTCCTTGTCACAAGCAAATAATCTAAATACATGATAATGACTYCAAAACCATAATAAGAAAATGTGAGCCCCTCCTTTCTACACTTTGCTTGATCCAACTAAAGACATTTCACATATTTAGTCGAATGAGTAGTATCCATCATTCTTCTGTTACAAGACAATAGATTATAAACATTAGTTACATTTAAAATTAGCAAAGAAAAGAAAAATTATGGAACTTAATATTAGAATAGGTGAGAACATGTTCATTAAATTAGAAAATCAAGAATATGTTTCTAACTTCAGATTTGAAAATGGAAAAAAAATACTCATTTGTAGCGAGGATCAAGTTTTCTATGTTTTCATTTTAGGGATCAAATTGGTTAAAAAGTAGATCAAATCTAAATATAGCACTAATTTTGTTCAAAGTATTGTATACATTTGATCAATTTGGTGTACCAAATATGCTCATTTTGCGAAGCTTAAGACACCTCATTGAAACCTTAATTTGATGTAGTTAATGAAGAAACAACCTACAACTTCATATCAACAGTCTTATGTGATGCAAATTTTGTTATGACAACCAACTTACAACTCATAGCAATTTAGATCCTAGTTTTGGAGACCAATGTAAAAAGGAAAAGGAGATAACAATAAAAGCTACCCGCTAAAGTCCTTTGGTTTCTCTTCTTTCAAAGAAGAATGCAAGTATATCCATTTCAAATGGTCTCTCTACCATATCTCACTCCAATTGATGAATAGAAAAATATTTTAACATATCACTTTTATGTCTTTTATATATTCGTACTAAAAGGGTTCAATTCTTTCATATGTATCCAATTATATATTTCATTTGCTACAATTTGATGATATTTCTTTGACAATAGTAGTTTCCTTGTTCGTATGTATTCACTGTTTTGAGAATAAATAAGATAAACATTAACATTGACAAATCTTGAATACACTTTTAGTAAAATTTAAAATTAAAATTCCATCCAATGTTTTGAAACATTTACTAAATGCTTGTTGTTAAAGGCTAACTCAGCACAGACTGCATCAATTTTCAACTACTAATTAAATCACAACATTTATAAAATATTAAATAGATATATAGCAAAAGAGATATGAAAAAAATTGATGGTTTAAATGGTATTTAACCACTCCTTGCAAGAATTAATGAAGAAAAAATGTAGTAGTTGAGAATGTTCCCAATTATAATGGCAATTGGTAATATTACAGGCACCTTTGAACCAAAGGTCTACATAATCGAAGATAAACAAGAAAATATTTTGTTAAATATCTTATATAAGAATTTTGAATCGTTTATATATCCTATGGTTTCTTGATATGGTACATTACTCAAAAGAAAAAAAAGAAACAAGAACCAAAAGAAAGAGAATGTAATATAAGGTGAATATCTACTATTCAATGGTTTCCCTTTTAGAGTTTTTGATTAAAATAATTCCACTAAAATAATTCAATGTAATTACTTGGACACAAAAAAGTGTTACAACTCTAAAATTATATTCAAAATTAGATTCTTGAAAAAAGGTTCATTTATAATGGTTTTTGACACATTCAATCTTCTAGGTATGACACATTAAATTGGGTATTTTAGAAATACTATTTTTTTTTTCAGGCAGTCTTTTAGAAAATACAAAAACTCCAATTTTGGATCAAGATTTTTACAACACTACTCAAACTAGTGCCGGAAAAAACGTAGGAGGAACAATACATTGGTATTTATTGATGTGGGCAAGCTATAACACTTTGACACTAAAAGACAAAATCTATGATATTAGGATAAGATTTTGCATCATATTTCATTTTTATCGTTTATCTTTTTGGGTACATGCAACAATGTTTGTTTCATAATGGTCCTCACTTTTTTAATGTCTAAAAATATCTATCTAAATATAATTTATCTTATAAAAGCATTTTCTGCTAATAATAACTATTTTTTTTTTTAACTATCAATCTCTTGCATGCATGTGTAGGTGCCATTCTACCAAGGAACCAACCAAGCTCATTGAACCAAGTAAAACATACAAATGGAGTTAAATCACAACTTTAGCACCAAACTCTTGTGCCTCGTCTTCTTTTCCTTTCTTTGCATTTCTTTGGCCAGTGCCTTTATCTTCCCAAAAGAAGCCCTTCCCACCAAAAGTGGCTACCTTCCAATCAACCCGAAGTCTAGTTCTGCCATGTACTATGCATTCTATGAAGCGCAAAGTCCCATTTCAACTCTGTCTCAAACGCCTCTCCTCATCTGGCTCCAAGGTGGCCCAGGTTGCACCTCCATGCTTGGAAACCTTTATGAGGTTGGCCCTTGGATCGTGGATTTTGATCACCCAAGTGAAATGAACTTATTACAATTTAACCCAAGTTTGAAACCAAATCCTGGTGCTTGGAATCGTAAGTTTGGCTTACTTTTCCTTGATAATCCAATTGGGAGTGGCTATAGTATTGTTTCAACACCCGAAGAAATACCAAGGGATATGGATACTATTGTCAACCATATTTTTGTTGCACTCGATACATTTATGTCCTTTAACCCATTATTCAAGTCTCGCCCAATTTATATCACCGGTGAGAGTTATGCTGGAAAGTACATTTCCGCAATWGGGTCTTTTATTCTACGACAAAATTCTCTTGTATCTACATCCYACAAATTGAATTTAAAGGGAGTTGCAATTGGTAATGGGTGGATTGACCCTATTACCCAATTGGATACAATTCCCACAATTGCATATTTCTCAAGTTTAATTAATGAAAAACAGAAGGTCGAGCTTGAGGCGCTTCAAGTTAGGGCTGCAACACTTGCCCAAGAAGGAAAATGGAGACAAGCAGGAGAGGCAGACAAGGATTTAATGCACCGCTTGCAAGAAATGACAGGTTTAACTACTCTTTTTGATCTTAGGAGGAGGGATCGTTATTTAACTGAATGGGTTGGTGAATTTCTTACTGAAGACGAGGTAATGACGACTTTGGGTGCAAAAAGTTTGATTCGAAAAGCATGCGACATTGATGTAAGAGAAGCTTTGATAGAAGATGATATGAAGAGTACAATATCCATGATAGAAGAATTGGTAAATAAGAGTAAGGTCTTGCTATACCAAGGGCAATATGATTTAAAAGCTGGGGTGGTTGACAACAAAGCATGGATCAATCAATTGAAATGGGATGGTCTACAAAAATTCCTAATGGCTAGGAGAAAGATTTGGAATGTAAATGGATCACTTGCGGGTTATGTGCAACAATGGATGAGCTTAACTCATGTTGTTGTTTTAGATTCTGGGCACATGGTCCCCACTGATCAACCTGTGAGTGCTCAAGAAATGATTGAAGATTGGGTCTTGGAGCGTGGTACTTTTGCAGATTAGAAACAAGCATAGCGAAGTCCAAATTTAGAGGATTTGCATTGAATTCTAGTCATGTCTATTTGTATGCAAGTTGTATTGTATGAAGAGATATTTTGTAATACTTCTATCATGGAAGCACTATATGTTGTATACGTTTTACACCTTGTGTGTGGTGGTGTTAGTTGTCTTGTCTTGCAACATCTCCTCTATAACCCCGTTGTGTAAGTTTTACAATTTGTAGTGCTTTAATAATATCAGAAGCAGAAAAGAAGAAACTTAAAGAAGAAATGTTTAGATAGGCACGAGCATGACAAAGAATTACTTGTGTTGTATATTGGATTGATGTTGTAACCATATATCGATTTGACGTTGTAGAATGTAATGATTTTATAGTTCCATCATTCATGAGTTAAGATGATTGGTTTGGTACAGTTTTTGAGATGGTTGTAACTTAGTAATAGTATTTAGGGTTTGGAATCCAACTTGGTTCTAATTCAACTGTATCACATTGGATAGTGATAATTGTTATTTTTGTTCATTTTGCAGTAATAATAGAGATAAATTTACATGAATATAGCCTACGGTTGTGTTACTTAGGTATAAATTGTGGTTTATTTGGATAACATGTCAAAACATTCTACTATTAAGATCCGTTGAACAATCTAAAGGAAAAATAATGCCCATGATTATTCTTTAAATTTTCAAAGTAGTTCTAAGGCTTAAAAATTTCAGAGAACTAGATCCCATTTTTGAATATTCGGTTCCTCTCCAAGTGTGCCCATTTTTTAATATTCGGTTACCCTACCCCTAGAAAAGACAATAAAGAAATGATAAAATTTAAATTGTAAATAGTGGATATGTGCAGCATGGGCTAGGAGGTGTCTAGTTTCATGAAGATATGCAACCTGGTAATGCTCGAATATGCCCATAATGGGTCTTGTTATATGGATGCTTGTATATCTTGGGTATGATCTTGATTTTGAATTTAGTAGTAGAGAATAAAGTTGTGTCTGGCGATGGTGACGTTCGGTATTGACCAAGTGTTTGAGGAATATGAACTTTCATTGTTAGGCCCGGTGAACCGAATATGAAGGTTATGAAACGGGGATCTATATGCTGTTGTGTAAATCTATATAACCCCAAAAGGGGGTAAATTGGGATTTTGTTTTCATTTTTGGAGTTATTTTTCACAAATCTATGGTCTAGTTAATGAGAATGTTCAAGCATAGTACAATGTTGTGGATAAATAAGAACCGTGGTGAATGAATATGATATTAACTATCAAAAATATCAGTAGCTCACTAAACAATATTGCATAAAATAATTAAGAGCTGAATCCCAACTAAAATTATATGATTTAATGAGATGAACTAAGAATAGAGAGGAGGGAGTAAGAGGCACAAACAGAATTATAGAGGTTAAGCTTTCCCAACCTATGTCCTCTCCTCAAGGAAACCCCCTTGACAGTTCAATCCACTAATTCAAGTGAAATGTCCACAATCTAATTGATCTAGTACTAGACACACCTTATAAAATCTCTAACTGGTTGACCTGTTGCTAGCTATACAGTATACTATATTACTCTTCCCTCTTACAAGAACTTAGCTAGTTGAGATAGTGTTAGGCACACCGCAAGAGCTCCGACACTTGTATCTCCTGCAAACCTCCCGAATATTATTTTCAAGCTCAATACAAAAATTCCAAAGGTTTAGACTTTCAAATATGGTTAAAAAATTTTTAGAACTAATCAAGAAGGTCTCAAGCTCAATAGATTTAAAATTTTCATTTTCCTAAGGCTATGTTTGGTTTGAAGGAAAATGTAGGGAAAGGAAGGGAAAGATTGGAAAACCTTTAAAACCCTTATATTGGTTTTCCTGTCTTTCCCTTCCTTTCCCTACCTTTTCCTTCAAACCAAACATAGCCTAAATGTTTCCTGAGGGATGTTCACTATTTGATCGGGAATGTATACTCGTAGCCCAGGGTCATCTAATGGTTGATTAGGGTATGTCTCTTAACTTGTTGAAATTTATTGATTGTGAAAATTTCCCCCAAGCCATTTTAAATCAAACCTATAGTAATTCTAACCATTTTTCACTATCAACATGATTCATAAAATCTTTCTTAAGTGCAATATAACCAAATTTGAACCCTTGTCACAAGAAAATCTATACTACTATAAATAGTACAAATAGCCTCTAAAATTTCTGGAATTTTTCTTGACTAAAATACCCCTCTTTTTTGAAATATGATCCCTCTATTGTGAGGGTAGAATATGTAATTTAAATGCGATTATTCAATGCATTCAACTCCCTCTTATAAATCATACATTTAAGGTATTAACTTTCATTCATCCTCACTGAATCATATACTTAAAGCATATTTATTCTTGTCACTAAACTTCACTAATTAAATCCAAACATAATAAATTAATAATTCCAATAACATAAAATACCTATACTTTTAAATCTACATGATAAAAATAGTGTTTTCATCTAGGTGGTGATAAGAAATTAAACCATTTTGGGTCAAATGGGCCAATTCATGTTGCCACAATTAAATAATATAAAATTCGAAAATAGATAAAATACAAAAAAWATATAGAAATTAAAGAAAATTTTGGAACACTTTTTAACATCATATATTTGACATGTTAATCAATAATAAGTATGACATATAAGAGTTATTTTTATTAATGATGGAAATAGAATATAAAATTTAAACCAATTAGAAATAAAATTATTTTCCTATTCTCTCTCTAAATCTCATATCTAAGTTATATTCTCTCATTAAATCCTATGTTGAACATATATTTTTTCATCATTAAATTCCACCAATTAAGTCCACAACATTAATTTTGTTACTATAAAAATAAATATTTTGAAAAATTATTTGAAAACAAAACTAATTTTTTTTCCTCCTAGTGGTGGGTAAGCAATTCAATCATTTGGAATTAATTGGGTTAACCAACAATGCCATAATTTAATAATAAAAATTAAAGTAAATAAAATATAAAATATAGAAAAGCAAAAAAATTAAGCATATCTCTAAAATGGTACATTCATTATAATAAGCAAAAATAAGTATGAAATATAAGAATTATTCTTATTAATGATGAAAATGGAGTGTCACATCTAAAATCRACCTATAAATGAAATGATGTTACAATCAAATAATAAAATTTTTAAAAATAAAAAATAAAAATAATCACAAGAATAAAAAAACTAGATTGAATTTTGGGCAGATATCTAATGTTATATATTTATAAGAAAAAAGAAAATATTGGGTACATCTATAATATCATACATTCATTATATTGAACAAAAATAAATATTATGCATAAGAATTAATTTTATCAATGATGAAATGTAATACAAAATTTAAAGTCTACCTAAAAATCATATTATTTTCCTTTCTTTTTTTTGAAAAAGAAAACTATTGTCCTTTTTGGGTGGTGGGTTATTGGTTTGGGTCAAATGGATAAACTAATGATGTCATAGTTAAATAATAAAAAAAAAGTACAAATAATTAAAAGAATACAAAAATTATAAAACGATGTATGCATCTCCAATGTTATATATTAATTATATCAAACAAAAATTTAGTGTAATAAGTAAAAAATATTTATAAAATGTAGATGAAATAAATAATTTAAAACTAATTTAAAGTCAAAGATATTTTCCTATTTAGATGGTGGGTCAATGATCCAACATTTCAAATAAACTCATGGTTAAAATTTAATAATAATTTAAAATTTTCATGTGCAATCCACATGAAGTTGGAACTTTTTGTGTATATTTACTTTTTACTTTACATGGTCATTTACTACAACACCCCCTATATTTTTACAAATTTACTTAAACCTACCCTATAATTTGCATTTTACTAAAACACCCTTCATAGTTTGTAACCTATTTACTTAATCACATTTCATTAAGAAATATTTGTTTTGTCATTTGAATATAGTAACATGATCACCTAAACTAAGTAGAAAATGTTCACCATGGTTGTTTATTCCGAAAATACCACTAAATTGAGTGGAAGATGTTCAAGGATACGAATCCATGGTTGTTTATTCCAAATGTACCCTGATGATGCACAATCTGGCCGGTCTTAGCTGTCGATGATCTTGCCTCTGAACTGAGTAACAGGGACCTGAAACGGAAGGAGAAGAGAAGCTCCGGGGAGAACCCGGCGTAAGGGCTCCGAAGCTCAAGTTAGAATCCTTCAAAGGCAAGATAAACCAG